CGACCGGACGGCCTGGGCGGCGCGCATGGAGGCGAGCCCCCAGGCCCAGGCCAGGCACATGCCGAGCAGCAGCGAGAGGTAGCCGACGACGGCCACGATGAGGTTGCCGGCGGGCGGGATGATGTAGACGACGACGGCGGCGAGGAACGTCGTCTGGCCGAAGCGCTGCAGGCTCGGGTTGATGAGGATGAGCAGCGACGCGACCCAGACGGCGACGGTGCAGCGCAGCGTCGTCGTCAGGTCCCGCCGGTTGAAGTGGTCGAGCCACTGCGGAAGGCGCCGGGTCGGTGGCAGGGGCGGCGCGGACGCGGGCGTGGCTGCCGCATCGCCGGTTCGTCGGTCAGGTTGTTTCGTCTCACTGCCGCCGTTGGAGTCGTCGGGGCTCTCGGACGAGCGATGCTCCTTTTCCATGACGATCCGGGTGCCAATCAATTCCGATGCTTTGACTGATGGAGCCAGAGGCGTGCCGTTGCAAAGAGCAGCCGGTGACCGGGGTCTCGTTTGGCAAATGTGTGCTCGTTTGTTGATGGGTACGGACTGACAAGTCTCTGCAAAAGCCAGCAGAAGTAGAGCAATCAGTCCAAGACGCTTCAATGGCAAAGCGACCGGCGGTCAAAGGGCTCCAGAAGATGGCACAAGAGTATGAAGAAGATTCCCTGCAAGAAGTAGAAAAAAAAATCAAGTCTTATTATCCCAAGCTTTGGATGCTTTGGGTTGCTGATGTGGAGCGGAGCTGCCGAGATCCAACGTGCGCCACTTTACAGGGCGCTGCAGACGGCAGAATCCGATCAGCGTCGACGTCGACCAAGCCTCAAGGGCGAGCACCATTTTATTACGAGCTACGAAACAAGGCTGGTGGGACCGGACATTTGGTCAAATTTTCGGTCTGTGATTGCTTCCTTTTGAAAATACGTGGCGTGCCCTAACCGAATCTGCTGCTGCCGTACTCGTGCTGACAGCTCTACGCTGGGGTTCTGGCTGCTGTATTTTTGCACCAATGAAGTGCTATGTACCCGTACATCCAGTTAACTACACCAAAGGGAGCGTTGTTTGATATCCTCAAGAATTCACAAGATTCATGAGCATTGCCTTTTCTGCTCACCATGAATAACTATAAGTTAAGACTCGCTACTCGTCCAACTTGGCAAATGGATCCGCGCTCATTCCGAGCCTTCCGGCCAAAGCCACCAAAGCCCGTAGAAAAACTCCTTGGCTGCTAGGGTAAGTGTTACGTGCACAGCATGTGCACAGCACTCTTAGGGCTATAGGCCACCCACGTAGTAGCTAGCGAATATATCATTATCTTACTAAACTCTTATACCTAATAAAATAGTAGTAATACTAGTAGGATTATTAGAGACTATTAAAATTTATTAAATTTAAAGCTCTTATTAATAGTAATATTTATTTTCTTTTTTTTCTTTTTTCTCTTCTATACTTATAATTAACTATAGCTAATATACTAGACTATACCCCCCTTTTTAATTTAATTTAAACTATATCCCCCTTTTTTAATACTAGTATTATAAAAGCTAATCTAGCTAAGCTAATTAACTTAAATACTAATTAAAATATATTAATTTTAATAAATTAAGTAATATATTAATACTAAGCTATTATATATAGAAATAGATAAAAGTTATTTAGCCTATATTATAAGCTAACTAGCCTATACTATATATATATAAGACTAAATAAATAAGTAAAAAGAGACTCTTTTTAACTTAAATATAATATATATTATTTTAAAAGCTTAAAGAATTTATATAAATATATATATACTTATAAAAAACTATATAATCTTTATAAAATAGCTTATTTACTAAGCCTATATAAAGCTATCTTTAATAAGACCTAAGCTATATTAAAAAGGAGAATAAGTATAATAAAAAGAGTAAAAAAGGTAGGAAATAGGAGGATAAGTAGTATAAACCTAACTTATTAGCTTATCTAAAAAGTAAATATAAAGAAGGTAAGAGGAAGGAAGCTAAGCCTATATATTTAGCTTATTAAATACCTTCTTAATATAAACCTATTCCTATTTAATCCCTTTATTAGTATCCTTTTTAAACTTCTTAAATTTTATTACCTAGCTTAAAGAAATTAGCTTATCTTATTATATATAAATAAATACTAGATAGTAAATAACCTTAATAGAAAATCTATAAATAAGTTATTATTAAATAAGCTAGATAGGAAGTATACCCCTTTTAAGTAACTCCTTATTACCTATATAAGATATTAATATACTCTTCTTAGTAGCCTTAGTATAAATAGCTATTATTATAGAAATAATCTTAGTATATTATTATAAGGAGATATTAATAGTATTTATAGTAATATTAGTAATAGCTAGTAAGCTTAAGCTAATTAAGCTTTAAAAGAATAATATTAGTTTCTTTAATCTTAACCTTAAGTATTAAGATAAATAAGGAACTAGGTAGGTTATAAGGGCTAGTAAAGATCTAACCTTTATCTATATTTATATATTTATAGATTAACTTAAGTAATATATTATTAATTATAATAAGTAGTAAGTTAAAGATATTTAAATAACTTATTTATATAGTAAAGTTACTTAATAGTATAATAGTTACCTTATTATAGTAGACTAATAACTATTTTATAATATATTTATAAAGAATATCTATACTAGTCTTATTAAAAGATAGTAAAAGCTAATAATAAAAGCTATTAAAGACCTAGTAAAAGCCTAATATACTCTAATAGATATATATAATAGCTATAATATTAAAATATATACTTTATAAGTATTAAAAGATATATAAGCTTATAAATTAGGTTAGTAAGTATAGCTTTAAATAGTATATAACTCTTTTAACCTAATAATCTATAGCTTACTACTACTATTAATACTAAATACTATAGTTTTATAGCTTATAATAGTATTATAAAAGTAATAAAATATAATAAAAGATCTTATAAAATAGAAATAGAATAATATACCTTATATACTAGATTTAAATTAAATAGTATTAATAATAGGCAGCTCTAAAGCTAGAAGAACAATCTCCTATTACCTAGTATATCTAGTACTTACCTATACTATATAACTAGATAAAAGTTATATAATATAATAACTTTACCTCTTACCTTATATATACCCTATTAATCTTAATAGGTTATAAGCCTAGTAGTACTTATATTATAAAAGCTATTAATAAAATAAAGAAAAGTATTAATTTCTTACTAAATTTACTTACTATCTATATAAACTAATATTTACTATAAAACTTAAGAAATTTATAACTCTTTATATATAAAAAGAAGAAAAACCCTAAACTCTAGCTAATCTAAAGTATATTTAATAAGTCTATTTACTATAAAAATTCTATATAAAGAAAAAGAAATTCTATTACTATACCCTACCTAGTAATTTATATATAGACTTTATATACTTATTTTATATATATTATAATATAAATTTATTTAATATAATTATAGCTTTTAAATAAATATACTTATTAGATTATTTATTATAATCTATAATTCTAAATATACCTACTAGATTACTTACTATAATCTATAGTTTTAACTATTATAAAAGGTATATAGTAACTACTTACTTAGTAAGAAGAATTCTTTATTATTTACTTAAATACTTCTTACCTTTAAATAAATATAAGGTATTTAGTTTAAAAAGAAAGACTATATACTTAGCCTATTATTCTTCTTATTATTTTAAAGTTTTACTCCCTTAATAAATAATATTATTAATAACTTAACTTCTATATATAAGTTAAGATTTTCTTATAGCTTTATTACCTATTTTATTATTTAATATTATATTTTTAATATTAAAGAAAGTATTAAATATTTTAAAGCTTAAATTTAAAAGTAATTAGGTTAAATAAAAGCTAAAGATAATTAATATACTAAGACTTAATAATCTTAATAAATTACTACTAAAAAACTAAAAAAATAACTCTATCTTAACTAAGGCTTATAGTAATAAAACTATAAAGAATCTTATTTAAGAATAAATATAAGACTAGGTCTATATTATTACTTTTATTAATATAAGCCTTAAAGAATATACTTATAGCCTTATTAAAGATAAGGTTATAGTATTAGATATAATTATAGCCTTTAAGAAGTATTTTAAATTAAAAAATATTATTATTTTTTAAATTATAACTAATTATCTTTTAATACTAACCCTTACTTAATATAGATTTATTAAGAAACTTACTATAGTACTTATTAATATTTAGGCTAAGTAGTAATTTCTTAATAAAGACTTTAAAGTCTTTAAGGCTTTAATAATATATCTTTTTATTAATAATATTAGTAAAGAATTTAACTTTTATACTATTAAGATAGCCTTTTATCTTATTCTAAAATAAACTAATAATATTATTATAATTCTTATAACTATATTTATATAAATAATTATAATTATAGTTAACCTTATTAAACTTAAATAATAAAATAATAAAAAGTCTAAGTAATAAGTTACTTTAATTATTATAATAGCTATTAAAAAGTATTCTCTTTATAATATAATAAAACCTAATATTATTAGGTATTTCTATTCTTTTTATAAGCTTTTAGGTTATTTTAATAAGTAATACTAAAAGCTATACTTTAAACTCTATTTAATAAACCTACTCTCTTTATTTTAATAAAATAGAAAATACTAATACCTAACTAAAAAATATAATAGTAAATATAAATATAAGAAGGTTAGCTTTAAATAGTATATAAGTCTTTTTATAGACTTTAAACTAGCCTAACTTATTTTTATTATTTTTTAAAACTTATAATACTTTAATTAACTTAAAATAGATAGTATTCTTATAAGTATTAAACTTAAATAAGATTTTAATCTTTTTATATTATTATATTAAAAACTAATACTACTTAACTTTAATATATTTAATTATATCTTAAGTTATAAGGAACTTATAAAAAACCTATCCCCTTATTTAGGCTTTAATATTTAAAGTCTTATTAGTATTATTTTAAAACCTATTATTTATAAAATAGCTATTATTATTATAAAAAGCCTTAAGACTACCTTAAAATTATATAATAGTATTCTATAAAAAGGTACCTTAATAAGCCTACTCTCTATTAACTACCTAATAATAAAGAATATTATGATAGTTTTTAGTAAAGAAAAAGTAATTATAATAAAGAATTAAGGGGTTATTCTTACTACCTAGTAAATTATTAAAGTCTATATAGTTAATTATATTACTTTAAGTATTAATATATTAGCCTATATAATAAATAACCTAAAGTATAAGCTATAATATAATTAATTTAAATATTTAAGGAAATAGAATATTATTAAACTTATCTTTATCTTTATTAGTATAAAGCCTATTAATTAGTATAAATATTATATTAACTATTTTATAAGGAGATAAAAAGAAAGCCTTTATATTTATTTATTTTAAAAAAGAATATATTCTTTTAAAAGCCTTTATATTAATATTATTAATACCCTACCTACCTTTTAAAAGAAGGATTAATACTAAGTTATTATTATTAATAATTATATTAGAATATATTAACTATTCCCTATTAAAAAGAAATCTTAGCTACTTAATATAATATTAAATTTCTTAAAAATATAAAAATATTTAGAATATAAATACTACTTTATTTAGTTAGATTAAAAGGGGGAGAATATTATAACCTAGTTTAAAAACTCTTATATTTCCTTAAGTATATACTTATAGTATTTTACTACTAATTAATATTAATAGAATAGTATTACTAAGGTTAAGAATAGGATATTATAAGATAAGCTTTTTTTTACTATATATTAGTTAAAAATACTAATTAAATTCTAACTAGTTATAATATGCCTATATTATTTTTTAATAGTATACTTTTATAATAAGGAATAATAAACTAATAACTTCTTATAAACTATAGTTTAAAGATAAACTTAATCTTAATTATTTATAAATTATAGGTAGTTATAGGTAGTAAAAAACCTTTTATTATATTCTAAGAATAGTTTTTAAAACTATTCTATATATCTTAATTAGATATAAAGGCTAAACTAACTATATTATCTTAAATACTAATAAACTTAATAAACTAGTAATTATTAATAATATTATCTTTTAAAAATAGCCTAATTAGCTATTTAAAGATTTTAAATATAACCTTTTTTAGTAAAATAA